ATGATTTAAGGTTCAGAGGGGTTAAAGGTACCACAGGTACCCAGGCCAGTTTTCTGAGTCTTTTTGATGGAGACCATGACAAGGTAGAAATTCATTCTTTTTCGAGGTTCCTTCTTTAGCCTGGGTAGCAAGTATTTCCGCTTGGGTTATTGAGTGAAAACTTGGAGCATTGCAGCTGTCATACATTAACTTGAGCAGAATTGCTTGCTATGCAGGCTGTTTCCTATCAAACTGCCCTTCTTTTAATTCCAGCTGCTCAGTGTCAGTTTCTTTCAAAAGTGAAGCTTCTTTTGCCTTAAATGTGGTTGTTTATAATAGGTGGAAAGACTAGACCAGCTGGTGACTGAAATGGCTGGGTTCAACAGCCATTACCTGGTTACAGGCCAGACCTACAGCCGCAAAGTAGATTTGGATTGCCTTTCAGCTCTCGGCAGTCTAGGGGCTTCTGTTCACAAGGTATTTTTGCTTTTTCTTACCCCCCACCCCCAACATACTTTCTTTAAAGTAACTTCAGTACCGTAACATTCATTTGTAGGAACTTTGATTTCTTGTGCTAGTCAAGAAAAGTGCTTCTAGTGCCTCCCATAGTTGTACCATCTTTCAAGGATGAGGTTTCACTTGACAAATTGATCGGGGAGTTTATTCTGTTCCAAGAATTTAGATACAGCTTCAGTAGCCAGGGAGCGCCCCAAAGTAAAAAAGGAGGATAAAGCTGCCCACCTTCCCCTCCCCTAAGCCAACATTAACACATACTTCTCACTTAGGGCAAAATGTTGGCTTAGGGGAGAGGTAGGTGGCAAGATTCCTAGAAATGTATTATGATCCAAGATCTTTATACATTTCTAGGAAACTGCCCACCTACTCCTCCCAACACAACACTAACTTACTTCTCACTTAGGGCAAAATATTGGTTTAGGGGAGGGGTAGGTGGGTAGATTCCCAGAAACGTATTATGATCCAAGATCATTATACTTTTCTAGGAAACTGCCCACCTACTCCTCCCATAAGCCAACACAACACTAACTTACTTCTCACTTAGGGCAAAATATTGGTTTAGGGGAGGGGTAGGTGGGTAGATTCCCAGAAATGTATAATGATCCAAAAAAGGCACAGAATAAATGAATACAAGGGAGGAAAGAAAAGGGGGAGGGAGCCTGGTCACTCTCCCCAGTTCTCCCTCTGATTTTCTTTACTTTGTACCACTCCCTACTACCTGAACGTCTGAAATAGGCTACACGGAGGTACTCAATGATGAGAAAATGGAGGAGGAGGAGGAGAGGTGGTTTTCTCCTTTTCCCTAGCTCACTGACTCGTTTCCTAGTCCTTTTTCAGTACAGTAAACGTTTCGATAGGCCACTTCCGAGTTCCAAATACCCGCACTTTCAAAATGAAGCTAAGTGCACATCCTTTCTTGTGAAAATGAGTTTTGTTTGCACGAGAATGAAAAATCATCTCCATATCAAAGGCTGAGCACTTGACCTCGTTTTCAAACAGAGGCTCGGGGAACTCGGAAATGGCCTATTTGTAGATTGCAAAACAGTTCGTACTTTTGCGTATTCAAGTCAGCTCGAGCAATCAAACAAAAGGTCTGGAGCGAGGCTGAAAACGGAGAGTGAGACTGGGGAGTTTTTTTTCTCTCGCCTCACACGCCCAACAGGCGTGTGAGGCTCGCGCGCTTCGCGCGCGTAAGACTCTTACCGCACGCTTTACCGATTTCTTTACTGATTTTGAGAAAAAACCTGACTGTTTTGCAGTCTAGGCCTATTGTTTTTTTTGTCATTTTCTCCAACTTTTAGTTCATGAGAGCATAGCTACTGCAGTATGCTGTTGTAAATGGTCATCTTTGAAATAGGCACTACAATGTATAGATTTAGCTCTCTTTTATATTAAGTAATTATCGCCTCGTTTTGCTTTGAACGTTGTGATTGCTGTCTTTGCAGATATGTACGGATATCAGGCTTTTGGCCAATCAAAAAGAAATCGAGGAACCTTTTGAGAAGGAACAGATAGGTAACTGAAAACAAGTAAATGAAGTAAGCCCAAAAAAACTCTGTGTACATGGGCAAACCGGTCGGTTCGCTGTTACCACTTTAGAACCTAGAAAGGAATTGGGCCGAGTTAACTTTCGCAAAGACTTCTTGGAAGAAATTGGACAATGAGGACCTTACAATCCGACAACGGCGACGTCCATAAAAAGGTCGCTAAAAATAGACTTCCCATCAATTTATTTTTATCGCGATCATCTCAATTCGCCCTGTTACTTAAAAGAAGGGAATTTTGGTCGGAGCTGAAGAAAGGGAAACGCGCCTGAGTACAGACAGAGATGGTAGAATTTATCTCCTTGCCGTTCCCGTTCTCAAGTAAACTAAAAATTTGATCATGTCACGTCGAAGTCGTGCAGGGACGGCAAAGAAATGTACAAAAAAGCGTGATAAATGCACGTGCAGAGTAGTTGTTTGGCTCATTAAAGGGGCACCTTCAACCAGTGTGCATTGCGGTCGTACACTTCACCGAAATCTTTTTCTTAATACAGAAATTACGAACGTGATTTCTGTGTTTGATAACAGGATTCTATCGATGTTTCTTTTAAGAAGGGTATCACAGTCTGCTATTGGCTAGGTTGCGAAGATGCAATCCGATTTTCAAACACAATCAGAACGTTCGTAATTTCTGTATTACAGCAACTGCCAATGATTTCGGTGAAGTGCACGACCGCAATGCACACTGGTTGAAGGTGCCCCTTTAGACATTGAATTTTTGACGTTCTCGTTGCCGTCGCCGTCGTAGTCTTGTAAGGTGCCTTTTAGCTGACTGGCGCGTCCCCCGTAGCGATCCCACAAACAATTGCGGGACGTATTTCGGCTCCAGTTCTCTTCTCGCTTCTGAAGTTACGAATTAGAACCTAACAGAACCTTCTTCTGGGTACACTGAATGGGGTGTTCTTCTTTATACAAGTACTAACGATTTGAGCGCAAGTGTTCGATTTGCTTGAGTGCCAGACTCTAAAATGAAGAACAAAAAAGGATTCTAGCACAGTAAGCTCTACCCTGGACGCGTAACTGCCAGGATTTATCGCGCGTAATAACCTGCAGAACAAGCATTTCTTTTTTCGTTTTTTCGTGCTTTTTAGCCGAACAAAGGCAAGTGAGGAGCAAGTGAGGAGCGCAATACACGCGCGATGGGAAAGGCACAGAAATTGTATCTTCCGCGCCTTTCCCTGTTGTGCGTGTGTCGCGCTTTACGCTCGCTTCGCGTTTAGTTTCCCTGAAAATCGCAAAAAAATAGCGCCTGTTCTACAGGTTACGCGCGGAAGCGTTCGCGGTAAAGCCACCAGAAGAATTATCTACAAATGAGAATAAGTCACATTGGGACTTGGTCTCTTGCTGGTCGTGGTGGATTTACAGTCGTTTTGTCTGCGAGTCTTTTCCCCTTGCGTGTTGGGTCCCTTTTTTCGCCTGATCAATGGCTTTAAGAACGAGGAATTCACTCGTGTGTCGGACTCTGTGTCATGGCTAGAGCTGCTTCAACAAAGGTTGCTTTGGGCATTAAAAATTAGCAATTGGACGTTGGGTCGAATTGGGCGTTTGGGCGTACGAAATTCACCGCAATGATTTGCCTCAATGACTTCCAAACAATACCTTCCCATTGCGCAATTCCCAATGCCTAAAGCGACCTTTATTGAATCAGCTATAATACCGTGTGTGGCGCTCGTTTTGTTTTTTGAGCGAAACGACTTAAGACTCTTGCAAACGGGACGTTGGGGAAAGGACGCGTAGGCGAAACGACGTTCACCTCGCGGTGTACCCTAAACCTTCACGCTACGCAAAGTTAGAGAAGACGCGCCATCATGTTAGTTCTCAAAAGTTTTCTTTCTTTCTTCCCAAGGCTCAAGTGCAATGCCGTACAAACGGAATCCGATGCGAAGTGAGAGATGCTGCAGTCTGGCACGTCACTTGATGGTTCTTGTAGGCGATGCACAGCAAACAGCAGCAACACAGTGGCTGGAAAGAACTCTGGATGACAGCGCCAACAGGTGATGCCAAGAAAGGCTAGCTTTTGAATTCCTTTCCTGTGCTCAATTCCTTCTACCAACTCAGCAGGGAACATTATACGTTTCTGGGAAACTGCCCACATACATTCATTCCTACAACGTACGAGGTGCCTCGAACAATGTTTTTGCACCAAGGCCCCGCACTGAAGCTGCTAAGCGGGCTTTTAGCTATAGGGGGGCAGTCATGTGGAATGGCCTAGAAAATGTGCTTAAAGACGAGATAAATCTCAACTGTTTCAAGTCTGCCCTGTCTTTGCTTTGAACCGGGGTTTGCCTTGAGGGAGTTGTGCGAAGACTTCTTTTAGTTATATAGTGTACATTTTGGGTTGTTTTTTGTGTAATTAACTATAGCATAGTTTTCTTAATATATAGAAATATTTTTAGCATTAGTGTAGTTTCTCTTGAAATTTGATATGTAAACGACTCACTGGAAGAGCGTTTTTAATGAAGTGATACCGCAAATAAAGCTTGATTGGTTGATTAATTTTATTTAGGATCCCCTTTTTAAGAACTGTAAACAAAACTTTCAGCCTGAAATTTGCCAAAATATTACAATATATACTAAGAACATACCCGAGGCTCACTGCTTTTACTGTCCTAAATCCTGAAAGTCTGAATTACATAACGCCCTACATGGATTCAGAGTGCATGTAAAATTTTTTCTCTCAACGCATTCCTATTGTTTATGGTCAATTATACATTTACATTGTACTTGCGCAATAGGTCATTTCCGAGTTTCCCCGGGCCTCTGTTTCAAAACGAGGGTAGGTTCTTAGCCTTTGATATGAAAATCATTTTTCATTCTCATGCAAATAAAACTCATTTTCACAAGAAAGGTTGTGTACCTAGCCTCATTTTGAAAGTGAGGGTTTTAGGAACTCGGAAGTGGCCTATTCATTAATGTGAAAACTCATGATCATTGTCTTATCTTGTCAAAACATTTTGCAGGAGAATAAGTTTGGCGGAAGCTTTTCTCACAGCTGACATTTTGCTCAGTACTTTGCAGAATGTTTCGGAGGGTTTGGTAGTTTACCCCAAGGTAAGAGAAATGAATCAAGAAGAGAGCTTATGCACAGCGTTTTGAGCGACAGATCGCCCCGTGTAAACGACAGATCGCCCCATGTAAGCCACAGATCGCGCCATGTAAACGATAGATCGCCCCATGTAAGGGAATCCGGATTCCGGAATCGGAGAAATTCTTGCTTTTGGAATCTGCAGTGCGGGAAATTTTTGCTTGTGGAATCTAAAATAATGGCCTTTGGATTCCGTAATTCAGCTCTAGGTACCCGGAATTCCGCAAACCATTGGAATCCGGAATCCAAGTTCCAGTGACAAGGAATCCAGAATCCAGTACCTGGAATCCGGAATCCATGGCGTGGAGTCCAGAATCCAGTCTTAAATTTCCTTACATGGGGCGAGACGGACGTCAACCGGAAGTTGGCCTTTTCCCTTCTAATATACCTTGACGCTACCACGTTAATTTTCAAGTGTCTTTTTGCTTACAAGAGGTGAATTGCTTGAAGAATTGGACAAATTACATAGCTCCAAAGTGCAAAAAGACTTTACTTTCGATTGCCCTCCGTCGCTCAAAAACGCCTTTGCTTAACCTCTCTAGTCATGATCTTCTGTTTTAACGTTGCGCAGTCGCACATTATTGTGGTAAAAATAATCATCTTATTCGAAAGCTGGAAGCAGGGTGGTGCATTTTAGTACACTACGTTGAACTTTAATCAGAACCCAATGGCTCAATTTGGCCCTTCGTAAACAGTCAGCCTTGTCTGGTTTATTTTCCAACAAAGCAAAAAAACTGGCCGACAAGGACTAGTCTAGTAGTGAAATATTTTCACCGTTACTCGAGAATGTCTACCAAAGGTTGTAAAATCACACTAATCACGTGTTGCGTGATGACGATCACGTTCACGATCGCGGTCTTACGCGCTTTGTTTATTCAGTGTTTGGCTTGTGATTTTCCTCCGCCACGGACAGGTTATTGAACGCTCACGTTCACGATCGCGATCTTACGCGAATTGTCCATTCGGTGTTTGACTCAAGATTTTCTTCTGTCGCGACGAACAGGTTATTGAACGCCATATTCGTCAAGAGTTACCGTTCATGGCGTCTGAAAACGTTATCATGGCCATGGTGAAAACTGGAGGAAGTAGACAGGTAGGATAATTGTTGCTCAGTTCTGGAAACTAGAGATCTTTCTTCAACGTTGTTTATTTTCGGTACCACGATAAAAAAGCCAAGAAAACGCCACGCCAAAAATGTTTGTAGTGATCTGGTATTTTAACTCCAGGTGCACTAAGGTAACAGCTGTTTGATGTCTGTTCTCTGCTTACAATCAACATAATGTTTTTTGAACCAGAAACTAATAAGACCCTGTCCACACGAATCCGTTTTTGTTTGAAAACAGAGTTTTTTTTTCTCCGGCTTGGCCTACCGCCCACTTGTATTCAGTTCGGTGAAAATGGTCACCGAAAACGCATCTTTCAAAAACAATGTCCAGAGTTGAGAGTTTTATAAACGCTGTTTTGCTGTAAATGTGTGGACGGATGAAAACGAGATTTTTGCAAACGATTACGTCATGGTGTTGGATCCAGTCTATCCCGCGCATGAGCTTAGACGTCACCATCTCGCGGGCTAGATACCAGTAAATGCGCATGCTCCCATTGAAGATTGTACCGTTTTCAGTGTGTTGTGAAACGTTAGAATGCTTNTGTCTGTTCTCTGCTTACAATCAACATAATGTTTTTTGAACCAGAAACTAATAAGACCCTGTCCACACGAATCCGTTTTTGTTTGAAAACAGAGTTTTTTTTTCTCCGGCTTGGCCTACCGCCCACTTGTATTCAGTTCGGTGAAAATGGTCACCGAAAACGCATCTTTCAAAAACAATGTCCAGAGTTGAGAGTTTTATAAACGCTGTTTTGCTGTAAATGTGTGGACGGATGAAAACGAGATTTTTGCAAACGATTACGTCATGGTGTTGGATCCAGTCTATCCCGCGCATGAGCTTAGACGTCACCATCTCGCGGGCTAGATACCAGTAAATGCGCATGCTCCCATTGAAGATTGTACCGTTTTCAGTGTGTTGTGAAACGTTAGAATGCTTATGATTGTATTTTCTTATTTCATTAAATTTGCAGTAGTTGATAAAGTAAGCCATTATCTCGCCACCGCTAAAAGAGATGTTTAGATTGTAACAGGAAATATAGTGGGATAAGATAATTAGAATTAATCAATGTTGTATTTAATCGGGTATTACTAGCTTAACCGCACATACGGATTAGCAAACCCACGTTTAATAGGAAATTAGTTGAAATTAGTGCCCACGAATCGATGTTAAACGTGATTAAAGAACTCAGACCCCATTTGATTATTGTGACCACGCCGGAATTACGCTTCTGGGTGTGGACTTCCTTAGCTAATTATACGCAGCAGTTTTGTAAAATTTAGTTAGATTGAAATTGATCGTAGAACGGAACGTGTAATGTTGAATAGTGAAGAATAAAGTCTGATTTGTACGAAAGTATACAGTCCTCGATTGTTGAACCAGCATGTGCGGAATCTCTCTCTATCGCAAGTGGGAAATTCTGCGAAACAGTGAATGGTGCATTTTTGTTTGGGCGGGCAAAAAAGACTCAAAAACGCAATGTATGGACGCCGATTTGTTTTGAAAACTGAGAAAAAGTCTCCGTTTTCAGCAAAAGCGGATACGTATGGAGGGGGCCTAAACTGATTCGCTATTGGAGTCTCAACACAAATATCTCAAGTGTGGGCGAAGTGATGTGAGACACTTCCGCTTCGTTCTTGTTGTAATTTGTATCAATCTTATTAACTGTTATACTATCAAGAGATAGCTTTTATGGATTTTAAAAGGATGTGGAATCAAATTGATGGGTTTTTGATGTAATGTTTCACAGGAATGCCACGAAAAGATCCGCGTTCTCTCCCAGGAGGCTGGGGCGGTTGTCAAGGAGCAGGGTGGCGACAATGATTTGGTTGAGAGAATCAAGGCCTGTGAATACTTTGCTCCCATTCACAACCAGCTAGACGCCATATTGGATGCCAGCACTTTCACTGGGCGGGCACCACAGCAGGTAAGACAAGTCAGGTTCATTAAGTGTCAGAAATATTTTAATAGGGCAATATCGCAGGAGTGAATATTGACAGGGTAATACAGTGGAACCCGGTTAATACTTACCAAGGGGACATGCCATGGTGCCCGTATTATCCGGGTGTGCGTATTCAGCGGGGACTCGGGAAGAAACGTCACGGACACATGTTTTATGGAACTAAAGACTAAAGCGGACTGTTTTACGAGAAAACCTTGCTTAATTTCGTGACTGTGACTAAAATTACCTTCAGTTTAAAGTACTATTGTGAAAGTTTGAACCCAGGAGTCATTTCATAAGTAGATTGAGCATGATCGTTCGGGTGAACGTAGTCACGAGTAGGACTGTTGTTGACAGTGACTGGCCTTTTGTCAACCTGTGCGGTAGTCATCTTCCGAAGAAGGTGAGTTGTATCACGTCAGTTGATGGTATTTTGAAAACTCTGGTTATTGACCTGATTGGTCAATTAAGTCGCGATGTTATTGGTCGTAGGTCAGTTAAGCCGTGTTGTTATTGGCTATGAAGACTCGTAATGTCATTGGTACGTTTCGATCCGTCTATTGTCACAGTTAACCAGTCGTTTATTGTTAGTCGAATTGTCGGTTCTCCAGACATTTTCTCGTAGTTAGTTTTGCTTGAGTCCGTCGATAAGTCGTTTGTACGGTACTGGTAGCTGTTGACTACGATTCAGTGGCGTTTGTTCTAAGTTAGTACACCAGCTTTCTAACGTGAGTCGTTAATAATGGTCTATGGAATACGTAATACATGTCGCAGAGACTCCCAGTCGATTTGATGTTTCGTCTGTGAATGGTGTTCAGCAATGTGATCGTTGACGTCACCATTTCTTGTGGCTCGTTGTGTTCGGTCAGTTACGTGTTAAGGTTTCTGCCGGTTCCACCACTGTAAGTGGCATGGCAGTTGCAGCGTTTCATCTTGTATACTGCTCCCTGTCTGCCCTTTGGTATGAAACACGACACTAGACAGTTTAATGTCTGTTGTCCGTATTAACCGTTGAGCAAATAAAGCGGGTTGATTTTAGAGAGAACATATGACCTTTTCGTCGGGACAAACGAAACTGTCCGTTACGGTCTGCATCAAGTGAGTGTCCGTAGAGCGGGGTTCCATTCTAGTTGCAATTTTCGAATCGACCTCCCCGGCGAAAACGGGAGTGCTCATCGTACCCGTCTTTTTGGGATTTAAATTTTCGGACGGGTACAGGTTAGGGTGCTAACCCGGAGGGGGGGTACTCCCTATGGTACCATTTGTTAATAGAAGGTATACGAAAGGGGTACCTTTTTCGTGAAAAATGGTATATAAAAGTGTAAGGGGTTTCCTCGGGGAGGAGCCTCCCCGTATGAACATTTGCTGAGTACCCCCCAGGGGGTGCTAAGTGGGGCGATATCATGCTAGTTGCTCTATCTTTTTATAAAGCTAAACGTGTCCTCGCATCGATTGAATTCCAAAAATAACAGTCCAGTTTTTTAAAAAATTAAGACTATATGTAGCCATTGAAACTGTTTCATGTCATCTGTTGCTACAGATGGCAAGGGTGGACGAATACTGAAAATTGAAAGAATGGGTTATCTTTTAGTGCTATCACTGTAAAAATCACCTAAAAATAAGGGATAGGGGCTCCTTGATGAAATTTGTTTGATACCTTCATAACTCTGCGGGAGCATTTGGTGTACAACGGCAATATTCCAGTGACATCTTTTTCCTTTGGTTTGTTTGTTTTTTGGCGTTGTCTGTTTATTCTTGGATTTGTGAACAGCCATTATTGAGCCTTTCGATTTCTTCAATTTCCGGTCAAAGTTCTAGACATGTTGGTCAAGTTGCAAAAGGAGACCTTTACTTCTTGCTGGTTTTGTTAATTACGGCCTTGTGGGCCTTCTGTAGCGAAAAACAAAATTGTTATTCCGATGTCTTTTGTAATGTATATGTTGCAGTTAATTTTTTATTTCAGGCAATTTTTGTTTTTCCGTTGTTTTACATTCATTAGCATACATTAACATACCAAGAAACATAAACATAACAAGAAATGCCTGAGATAAAAAAATTAACTGCAACATATACCTTTTATGACAAAAACTGACGGACTCATCGCCCAGAAAGGATTGCATGACTTCTGCTTCAGAAGAGTCTACAATCTTGGACAGAATAAAATGGAACAGCAAACCCGCATCCCCCCTCCCCCAAATCAAGGATGATCCTTGATTTGAGGGGGGAGTGGGGGTACAAATTTTCCATCGATTTTGTTATTTTGTCCCAGATTGTACTATGCTGCCACGAAGCTAGCCTTACTGCTCAAACAAAAAAAGCTTACTCAAAATGAACACAGAACAGGAAGTATTTCCGCCAGACCATTTTTTCGTGATAAGAATAAATTTCCCTATGCTTTGATAAACCTTATTCAAATAAGCAAGACAAAAAGGCCTCTGTTTGCATTTCTATAACTTCCCGGAATTTTTTAACGGTTCAGTACCCCAAAAAGTATTGGGTTATACCGGATCTCTATACGTTTGTATCGCGTTTCAAATAGATTGTATATTTTTAAAAGATCGTGATTACTTGATCGTGAGTTGCCTTATTCTTTGAAAACGATAAGCGTACACGTCTTTTTGTTTGAAATTTTTTTCTGTGCTGCCTTGAGGAGAAAAAAAACAATTAAAAGGTCACGAATGCCAAATTAGGTTATTCATATTTCGTCTTTCTAAGAACTAATCGATCACAACAACAGTCTGGTCATGGAGCCTCTGACAAGTAGCGACTATATTCTTAGTTCTATATAAGCCATGAGATTTTTAGAACCCAAAAGCCAGTCAAGAAGAGGTAGTAAAGCAGCTGGAAGTATTCGATCTTTGACGATTTAGTTATAAGCTAATGGCAGCTACTCCTTTCTCGCTCGAAGGCTTGTTTGCGTACATTTCGGAGACGTTCGCCGCGGGAGTGATTCAGTCTTACCAAGGGCAAGGCCTTCTAGATGACGCTCCATTACTGCAACGCCAAGATCCCTTGGAGGATTTCAAAAAGTTCAATCGAAATGATGAGATTTTTCAAGAGTACGATCCTCCCTCAGGGGACGACAGCAAAATGGGATGGAAAAGATCTCGCCCGCCAACATGGCGACTGTCGCTATGGAAAGCCATGAAGCATGCGTTCTATATTCAAATTCTAGGTGGTGTTGCGTTGGGATCGCTCGCTATTGTAATACTGGTCATAGATTTCAATACCGTCGATCTTTGCTATGATATGCAGTCCAAAAACTGGACAGCGCTTCCCAAAAGAATTCAGGCGGTCATGGTGACTGCCGCTACAACCGAAGCTTACTATGTTCAACTGTGGACGTTTCTCGTTGTGTTGACTATGTTTGGATGGCGTTTGATAAAGGAACTAAATTTATTGATCCTCAATCTTTTGGGCGCTTTCTTCGACACTTGTTACAGGCTTTATTTACAAGTTTACGACATTTACAACAAGCCGTGGAGGTCATTCCCTCTCAACGGCCTCTTTGTTCTCTTATTGTTGATGAACAGTTTAATCATCGGCAGAGACATAGCTAAGAAAAGCGAAACCGAAAGGAACAAAAGAATCAAGAAAGCGATCAAGGTATCGTCGATGCTGGTAGCTCAATTTGCTTTTGGAATTCCAATCACTTTTGGTCTCGTGTACGTCCTTATACCCCTGTATGGCGAAGCATCTGAAACCTACAGAGCGATCATAGCCGGGGCATTGCCTCTAGTAACTGCTGCTCCAAAGGTCGTTGTACGCTTGGCGGCGCAAAGAATTGATTTCCTTCATCCAGGAGATTCGCACGTGCTGTTAAACGTACTGTACAGCGCGTCCGCCATCGTTTTTCGCGTTATGCAAGCGGAACTGAACAGCCTCCGACTTTTCATTCTACTCAGCTTCGCGCATGGTGCAATAGATTTGCTGGAAAGGTTGACTATCGTCATTCGGGATTATTTTTGGTACTTTGTTTACAAAAAGCTCAAAAAAGAGAGTGAAACCATTTTGAAAGCAAGTCAATTTCGCTCGCCAAGGAGCATGCGCTTTGTGGCCGATATGAGCATTCAGATGATCCTTGGCGAATCCACGTCACTGATAGCAGCGGTCGGTTTCATTCAGCTTTACAACTTCGTGTACAACCGCAGTGATGCTTCCTCGGCGTCTACCAACATGGTTTATATCACCCAATTTTTCATTCGCGTCTCCATTGCTATTAGCATCGATTTTGTTTTTAACTCGTTCTCGTTTTGGCTGCAGATGTCCTATTTAAATATCGCAGTGGTGCGCGTCTGGCGCAAGAAATGGCGGAAACATATGCTTATTGCTTTTATTTTGACTGCAGTGACACTGTGTTACTTTACCACTCACTTGTTTGCTGTTGTAAAAGACAAAAACACTTCAGGAGTTATAATAGATGATCATAGTTGCAAGGGGCCTTTCTCAAAGTATTAAGTAATATATTTTTTAACTGATGGGTTTTTTATGCTGCCAAAAAAAAAGAATGACAGCAAAATGTTGCTCAATCTCATTTATTTGCAAAGCAATACTTAAATTGAATTCTCGAAATTGATACAGAGGTGCATCCCATAAGTTTGAATCTGTGTGAGAGTGTTAATTTAGTGACTTGAACC